TCAGGTGGGATTTCCTTAACACCTCGCCATTTGTTGTGTTGGCAAGTGGTGATTTGGTTATCGTCAAATATACTGTACAGTAGGTTTGCTGAGATTCTGGAATGTGTTTTTCATCCGAAAAGAATTATATAAGTTGGTCTGTATTATTAATTTTCATTTAACGTAAACCCGGGAGATTGCAGTCCCGTCAGGGTCTCTGCTTTTGGACGAATTTCTTTCCGACGGCCTGCAAAAACTACACTCTTTTAAAATGACCACTTAAGCAGTGTGCACTTTTTCTCATTGATCTGCAATGCCCTTATGAGTTCAAGTATATTTTAAAGAAAGCATGCGAAAAAGTATGCTTTTTCGTGCTCATTTGGTAGCAAAAACATCTTAATCAAATGTTAGTAGTCGAAGAAAAGATCTATTTCAGTTTTAAAAAGCCTTTAAAGTCCGAATAATTTGGAGCTCTATCTGTCATTGCTTTTACATTTCGAACTTACAACCTACGAGCCGTATACTTTCTATGTAAGGAAAGTCACATCCTCCTCCATACCATTAAGAAGGTGCTATACAAGGCAGAAGAAGCACGAATAAACGGACAGAAGCGGTTGGCAACTTTTTTAAAGAGCAAAAGATACCGTTTCTTCAGGTGCATAATGTAAAAAAGGGTAATTTTTTTACTGACACAACCCAAGTCGGGAGCAGTACCCTGCGCATAGTATATGAAACCGAAGGTAGTTGTCAAACATCACGCCTGCTCTCCCCATACCCTTGACTTCTAAGTGTCCGTTTGGTCTCTCCTTCGTATTTTCACATTACGATATCTGTCTATTGTTTTTTTTTTCAGCGCGACCGATCTCCCCTTCACCCGGATGCGCAAGCCCAGATTGGGCATGTGTAAAGTGGCTGTTCTCAAAACCTTTGGTATTTTGTCACACTTTAATGTTCTTTTGTCTACGAATTGCTATAAAAAGCCTCTTTTTTTCTGTCCATTTTCTGATGGAATAAAAGTTCTTCCAGCACAAGCGCACGAACTTCCACTCGTCTGTGAAGGTTATTTTTTAAATTTCTAGAATACACTATGAAACCGAGTGTTCTAAAACGCCGCTTCGCTGAGCATTCACATTTTGCTAGGACGCGTGCGTTAATGCCTTAGTAGTAGAACAAGAGGACAGAGGCAAGACAAAACAGCGCTGAAATGTGTGTTAATATCGAAGAGGATCTCCCGATGCTCATCAGACAGACAACTTTGCACAGGCCTGTTCAGTGGCTAACCTAGTGAAGTCAACTATTTTTCACTTTGTTTACGTGTGACGCATGTTAGCCATCGCAGGCAACTTCATCTCCAGTTACTGTATTCGGACGCACTACTAATACTTGTGAGAGTGAGTTTCCGCATTAGATGCCGCATTTAGTTTCCTTTAAAAAACTAATGCTAGCAATAAATGATCAGCCGTTACTTAAAGAATTGCTAACAGATTGAATATCTGCACTATACTGATGACTAGGGATCCAGTTTCAACAGTTCTGTGTGTGATTCAAGACCCTAACTTGTAGGAGAGGCTGTGACTTGTGACGGATAGGCTTATTGACTTATCTGAAGCTAAAATATATAACCTTATCAGGTTCATCGACTAAACCCGTCCTCGGTCATGCGGTGGCGTCTGTGTGTAGGCTAATATTCCGCAAGTGTATATTCGCTATGAAAGTTCCTAGCAACCGACAAGTTTCGTTTCAATGCGTTTGGATCTTGGGGTTTTGCTATGGACGTCGCGTGCGGCAAGGCACTGTCTGCAGTCTCATTCAAGCCGGCAATAACAGGCATAATCACGATCGCATCATGTAAAAATAAATGGCAAGCCGCCGACCGACATATAAAGGCCTTCGAGCGCAGGAGTCTTTTTTATCGTCAGCTAAACAGTTCATCTTGCCGCACACGGGCAATCCTGTCCATATTTTGGTAGCCGTTGAGTGATGCATTATCTGGAATGGCGCTATTGTTGCAATGTAGACGCATTTGTATGTGAGGACACGCCATGGGTGCGATCTAGAGAGAGGAACCGTTACGTGCGGAGATGACTCCAGTGCCCTCAATAACACGCATCAGGTTGACGAGGCTTCGATAGCTCTCATCTCCACCACTGGTTGTGATCATTATAGAAATTATGAAGAAGATCCACATCTTGTGTTTCTCCACCATTCGTGTGCCGGCTGGCTCTCAGTCAGTTTAACGACCAGAGCGACTGTTGCGATGGGTAAGACAAGCGAGCTACCAGTTAATCACCATGTTTTCTTGGATTGAAGTGGTTGATTTCGTAGTAAGACAGGGCGGTATAGTGCGAAATAGGCGTTAAAGTTCAAACGCAGTCAAGACGTCCTATCTGGTCCTTCGAAGATACAAATCCAAACTATTTTATTGTCCGCTGAATGCGCAGAGGGAGTCTTGGCGGGATTTTGTCACTAATGGGCAGTGAAATAGTTTGAAACTCCAAGCCTCTGGTGCAGTTTTTCAGCTGAAAATCTCACGAATTCTACACTATAAACAGCCCATACTGAGATCAACTGAGTCATCTCATCGGGATTTCCCGTTATGTGGTGTCCGTCTATACTGTATAAAACTGAAGATATTTCTATCTTAAGGCAAATTTGATTGTACCTGTCAGCCGACATGGATGAGTTGAATAAAGCCAAAAACAATAACCGAGTGCTCGCTCGAAATGGGGGCTCGTTTCCACAGGCAACGAAATAGAACCAAGTAATTTGGACAAATCATATTAGCGCAAAGTAATAAGAAAATCGAGAGACGGATGAGGGCTATTCAACAATGCTTGTGTACAAAGATTCATATCAGAACAAAAGAAGAATATGACTAACGGTATAATTAACTTTAGATCACTTTCAAGTCTATGTACAAGGAAGACGCATCCAAGGCAGTGGTGCTGGCGTTAGTCGCTGAGGTTTTTGTGATACTTTTCAATGTAGTCTGTGGTAGAGGTGCCAGCCGGCGGTGGCCATACCATGTGTCGACGTGTGCACTCCGTATCGTGCGACCACACTGCCCAGATGGCCCCCGACATGCGGTTGTAGTCCGCATAATTGCGGAAGATGATTCGGCTGACACGCCAACGAGTCTTACAGCCCCGCCTGCGGGATGTGACAACGCAACGCGTCATTATACGCGTGAAACAGCTGTCGCGTGGTAGTGAGTGGATCTGTACAGAAGCCGTGTCCTAGAACAGAAAAAAAGTCGGTGGTAGGGAATAAAGGGCACCTAGTTCGGTATAAGCCTGCTCATTCAGTCCGGACCACATCGAGCTGACTTAACTCTGAAGAACAGGTTGGGTTTACTAATATCTGACGTAGGACGAACGAAAGTGCCAGTTAACCAGAACGTAAGTTAGTCAGGTTAGCTGACTAGTGACCGTAATTAACGGAGTGTACGGCCAGTAATGAGCAAGTTGGTTCTGCTGTTTAACATTCGGGCAGATTAGGTAGTCGGTCCAACGAACCGGTCGCTAAGTTAATGGAATGTCATTTTATGACGAAATTGAACTAAAAATATCACACTATACTAACACTTATGAAATTGACGAAAAGGTGGTTAGAAAAAAAAAACAGAACGTACGCGAATATCTTTAGGAAGAATCGTATTCTTCCGAATGGCGTTGAGACGAACGCGTAACGGCGCAAAATGGGCGGCAACCATGCGTCTTTTATAGTCACGAACCATTATAGCGTCCTGAAAGCCATGTCGAACTAAAAATAGTTAAATTTCAAAAGCAGAGCACAAACTTTTCCAGTTTCGATAAGGGGTATAGTCGAGGAGTTCTTCTTTTAAGAGGCGTTCGTGTTCGGGGCCACTGTGATGCGGAAAAGTCTTGTAGGGCTCACGAGTGTGCTCCCAAAAGAGATTTTGGGGAATCCTAGGAGGCATGTGCAATGACCTGATCATAGCCGGGGGATTAATGATAGACTGAAGCATAACTATTTATTTGGCGATTACCTTGACATTAGAGGTAGCTCCAAGTTTGCACGCAGAAAAAAGTTTCGTCAAATATTGGAGGGCCATTTCAAA